TTTTAAAATAAGATAAGGGATACTAATATTTAAAACTATTATATTTTTATAAATTGAAAACAAGTTTAAAATAATCATTTTTAGTCCCTCAACTTCTAATATATGCATATTTTTCTTCCATTCACTTTAAATTAACGGACTAAAAATGTGTATATTTAGACAAATTTAACAAAATAATTTATAGAAGGATTAAAAAAAATGAAGAATGGACTAAAAAAGTACATAAAAAAGTTAAAAGATAAAAATTATGTAAAATATTAAAGTTAAGGATCAAAAATAAAATTTACTCTTTTTAAATTTAAATTGAGTTGTACGGACATTTTTTGTACCGAAAGGAAATTGCAATTGTAGGAAGCCCCTAGCCCAAAATGACGTTTTGGGCTAGGGAATCCTTTTTTTTTTTTAATTTGCCAGTGTGTACTGATTGAAATTTCGGTGAACCGGTCGGTACATCAAAATTTTGACCGATACATCGAATTTTGACCGAAATGACTGAATTTTAACCAAAATAAAAATTAATATTATATTATTTTGATCTACTTAAAAAATCAGTACATACCAACCACACCGGTTGATACGGTACAAAATTAACTTCTTTGCTTTAAGGGAGACACTAACAAATAATTGATATGTTATTGTTGATATGATGAGTATTAACTCAATTCACATAAATAAAACATAAATAAACGTTAAATTTATCATAAAGAAGGGAGTTAAATTGTTCAAATCGATAAATTCATGAAATTATTTATTTTAATAAAAATTTAAGGATTTATAAAAAGTTTAGGGTAAGTTTAAGGGTTAGGATTTTGCATTTTAAAAAATTACATTTATTAGCCTAATTTCAGCTTTCGTAGAATTTTTTTATTCTTTTTCAAAAACTGGGACAAATAAACACGCAATCACATTTCTAACTTATGCCTTTTGGAAATGTGCTTTTACTGTTCACAACTTTCCTAATTCTTGTTGAAACATTTTCTTGTTATTTTCCAAGTAACTTCATCATGGGGACTCTTTCCTTCTGGGACATCAGAGCTATCATGCTTGATATAATCAATGAAAAAGTGAAATTGGGGAAAAGTTAAGGATTGTTGACATAATGCTTTACTTCTTGGTCTTTCACATTGGATGGTGATGATGTTTTTAGTATTTTTTATTATAGAAAATAAATTTTAAATTTATAATTAAAAAATATATAATTTTATTATCAGAACTCGTAATTAATAACTGATGTTTTCAGTGCAAATAAATGTTTTTTCCTTTTTTCTTTGTGCATTTATAATATATGTTGAAACGCAATGAAATTTTATATGAATATTTTTTGAGGGGATTCTTCTTTATTACCTTTCTCTTTAAAAAGCAAAAGAAGCCCCACAAGACATAGGAATGAATGCGAACGGGACCCTCCAAGTTGAAGAAGTTTCATAGGTATGAAAACAAGAAATTTATGACCACGAAGAAAACTAAAATAATGAAACTTGATGGAAAAAACCTAAAGCTAAGAGAGTGCATATCTTACCCCTTTTTCTTTTGATTTTTTTAAATTTTTTTAACTTATAAAGTAAGGTGTATTAATTATCTATTTTTAACTATAAAAAGAAGAGAATTCCTCGTTGTAAGTGGGAATCCAAGAAGGCAAAATCAATTTTCTTTTCAACAAGTGCAATACAGCCATCCAGGTTGTTGTTCCTTTCTACGCGTGCTCTGACAATTAATTACTCTATTTATTTAATTTTA